GCTCAGGTCAATTAAACACAAACATATATGCTCATAAACATTTACATCCTCATGTCCTTTTTATTTTTATTTAGAAATTCTCTATAATAGCATATACTATAACAACATTAAATTTGCGTTAAGTTTAACCGACTAAGCTAAACACGGTTATTCGATTCGATAGAATCTCATCGAGGTCTCGACCAAGACGTATATCGAGTGAGCTTGTAGTAGTTGCAAATAAAGACAATGATGCTACACGAGCGAGATACTCAACAGCTATGGCTTCCGTTTGAGAGAAAATGCTTTGATCTTCTCCAACAATGTCAGCGACACGGTAGATTCTCTCTTCTTCAGATACATGCATTTATTCTCCGTCACGCCATTGAAACCAATGTTCAAATCTTCACTAAATTCTTGGCTGTTTCTGCGTCGAGTGTTGGGATTGGTTATGCACGTAAGTTGTTCGATCAAAGGCCTCAGAGAGAAGAAGAAGACAGTTTCCTCTGTAACTCTGTGATCAAGGCTTATCTCGAAACTCGTCAGTATTCTGATTCGTTTGGTTTTTATAGAGATCTTAGGAAAGAGACGTCTTTTGCTCCTGACAATTTTACTTTCACTACGTTGACAAAGTCTTGCACTTTGAGTATGTGTGTTTACGAAGGTTTACAGTTGCATAGCCAGATTTGGAGATTTGGGTTTTGTGCGGATATGTATGTTTCGACTGGAATTGTTGATATGTACGCGAAGTTCGGGAAGATGAGATTTGCGAGGAATGTGTTCAATGAAATGCCTCAGAGAAGTGAGGTTTCTTGGACGGCTCTAATCTGTGGGTATGCTAGGTGTGGGGAGCTTGATGTTGCCAGTAAGCTCTTTGATGATATGCCTGAAGTTAAGGACGTTGTGATATATAACGCGATGATCGATAGTTACGTTAAATCTGGTGACATGTTCTCTGCTAAAAGATTGTTCGATAAGATGAAAACTAAAACTGTCGTTACTTGGACCACTATGATTCGTGGTTACTGCAACAACAAAGACATAGAATCCGCTAGGCTGGTTTTTGATGCTATGCCAGTAAGGAATTTAGTTTCTTGGAATACGATGATAGGCGGATACTCTCAGAATAAACGACCTCAAGAAGCTATAAGATTATTTCAGGAAATGAAGGAAACCACCTCGCTAGATCCGGATGATGTGACTATTCTGAGTGTGATACCAGCTATTTCTGATACCGGTGCTCTCAGTCTCGGTGAATGGTGTCACCATTTTGTGCAGAGGAAAAAGCTCGATAAGAAGGTGAAAGTTTGTGCAGCGATTCTTGATATGTACTCGAAATGCGGTGAGATAGAGAAGGCGAAAAGAATATTTGATGAGATGACAGAGAAGGAAGTAACCTCTTGGAACGCTATGATACATGGGTATGCTTTGAATGGGAATGCACGTGCAGCTTTGGATCTGTTCTTGACAATGCTTAAAGAAGTAAAGCCTGATGAGGTCACAATGCTCGCGGTTTTCTCAGCTTGTAACCATGGCGGATTAGTGGAGGAAGGAAGAAAATGGTTTCACACGATGGAAGAATTTGGCCTGATTGCTACGATTGAGCACTATGGTTGTATGGTTGATCTACTAGGCAGGGCAGGGCACCTAGAAGAAGCAGAGGATTTAATTGCAAACATGCCTTTTGAGCCAAACGGAATCATTCTGAGTTCTTTGTTATCTGCGTGCGGTCAATACAAAGATACAGAGAGGGCTGAGAGAATTCTGAAGAAAGCAGTCGAATTGGAGCCTCAGAATGATGGGAATTATATTCTGTTGAGTAACTTGTATGCTGCAGGCTCAAGATGGGACGATGTCGGGATGGTGAAAAACATGATGAGGAAGAACGAAGCCAAGAAAAAGGTCGGTTGTAGCTCAATCGAGATAAATTCTATTGTTTCGGAGTTTATATCAGGAGATACAACACATCCTCATCGGAGTAACATACATTTGGTTCTCGGGAAGCTATTTATGCACATGAAAGACGAGGAAGCCAACTTGTGAAAGCAAATCACAGTTTCATGTTTTGTCATCAAATGCTTCTCTATATGAAATACTTGGGGCGATAAGAGTGCGTAGCAGCATTCTACGGGAGTGAACCTCCATGTTCAGTACCAATGACTCAGAGAGCCAAGGCACACCGATAATCAGATTGTATGATGAAAACATGAGCTGAAAGAACAGCAAGTTCTCTACATAGGCATTATACAAGAGGAAGAGAAGGTTGCTTGCTGGTTGGATTCAGGTCATCGCCGAGACAGAAGCAGGTCAGTGTACTAAGAGTCAAGTGCAGTGGTTTGACTTTCAAAAGATGAAGATACAGACGATTGTTGACTCGTTTCTTGTGTATGTTTTAAATGAAATCCATATACCTGCCTTGGTCAGAAATTGTTCCAATGTGTAAAAGTGTAGCAAAATGTTCTCTACTTTTTGTAAAGTCAAATATACATGCCACAAGAAATGAACAGAGCCAAAAAAGGAAGAAGAAGATACGAAACACCAACTTCCAATCCATTGGACTTGTTATTACAGAAAATCTCAAAACGAGGTAAATGAAATGCAAAGTCTTATACATCACACACTGAGGACAGTCTTGGTCTGATAAAAATCGTCTTGAGAGTTTGGTTTTGCAGCATGGCTTGGCTTTGGCTTTAGGTCTTGTGTATTTAAGATACAGAGGAAATTCTAAGTAAATGGGACTTTCTCACTTTCATTTTCTAAGAAAAGAACAAAACTCATATGGAAGATTCTGCCTGGTGATGCTCGAGATTGCGAAGGATAATTTTGGCAAAGATCTTAGCTTCACGAGGCATATTAGCAGCCGCAGCTGCAGATCTAAGTACTCTTGCTTCTCCTCCATTCTGCATAAGGCTTGCGTGATGCATTGCATGACGACCACCCGGTATTGTAAACTGAATAGAGAAAATGCATCAGTTATTTATAACTAACCGAGAAAACGCCACAATGCATTCACACATGTACTGATGTACATACCTGAAGAAGCGCAAACGCAGCACATGCTTTGAGTATCGAAGAAGGATTACGCAACATTGTTACAAATCTTCCAATTTCAGCACCACTGCAAAGAAATCAATATATTAGAAATTTCAAATCAATTTTTCGATCAAACACCAAGACACTGAGATTAACCTGCATCTCAAGTGGCCAGCTTCTTGTATACGAGCTCTCTCTGTGACTTGTGCCAACATAGTAGGAGTAGATGAAACAGCAGCAGCAACAAAGATTTGAGGATCCATGAAAGTTATAACAAAAGCCTCAATGTGTTTAAGAGCCATCCTTCTTGCCCCATCTAAGCTAACGCTTTTCGACGTGCTCTCTGATGAAGAAGTTCCTATCATCAAAGCGTATTCATCCATCCTGTTGCAGATTGATAATTCACATCGACACATCAAAAACCATTAGAGTCAGATTGAATTTAGGATGTTTATTCAGCTGAGGTATGTACAAACCTTCCATCGAACATGTATGCCAAAGCCAATGCAGCCATGAATCTAGCCATTTTTGACACGGAAGACGTACACAAGTGAACAAGAGCAGGAACTCCTCCTTCCTCCACAATGCGGAGTGCGTTACCAGGATTAAAAGCAAGATTCCACAGAGCTCCTGCTGCAGTTTCATGTACATCCTGACAAAAAACACATTGAGGAAAATTTAATCAGATCACCCAAATGGCTAAGCTTAAAGCCACAAGATTTTAGGACACAAATGCTCACCTCGGCTTCAGACCGTGCAAGTGCAATTAGAGGTGGAACCCCACCTTCACGTCCAATCGCAATGCTGATGGAGATAAAAAAGAGCAACGGCAGGATTATTATTAAGGAAAATGACAGTAACAATAAATTGATGAGAAACTCGTTTAAATCTTCTCTGCTAACCACAGATATAAGTTGGTGAAAGCGAAAGAAAAAGTATCAGCATGTCTGATATGTTAAAGCAAGATGGTCTTTCCTTAAATTGCTTCTGCGTTGAACTTAATATCACATGAAATTCATATACGTAACACATAAAACTTAGATTCAGATGTTTTTGGCACCTGTTTGCTTCTGACACTGACAATCCCCAAAGAGCACCAGCAGCTCTTTCTTGAAGACCTGGGGATGCATTTGAACAAGACTGTGCGAGCGCCACCTAAAATAATCAACCAAAAGCGTTTAATTCCCTTTAAATTTGCAGTGAATAATGTAATCATGTGAAACAAATTGGTAGCATACCAAAGCTTCAACACCACCAGCTGCAGCAATAGATTCTCGATTCTTATCATCAAATGACAAATTCCATAGAGCACCAGCAGCTTCTTGTCTAACACCTTCGTGAAGCGCTTGTGTAAGTTGAACAAGAGCTTCTAATGCGCCTGCTTCTTGTCCAACAGCAGCATTATTATTGTTGCTATCTCCATGAGCAGCCAAATTAGCTAAAGCACGAGCAGCCTGGAAAAAACAAACACAGTTAGACCACAAACTCAAGTACTCAACTCAATAACACAATCACTCACAAAGAAGTTTCTGAAATTAAAGAAACGGAATTTACCTGTTCTTGCACTCCCTCGTACTTGCAATTCCGAGCTAACATCACAAGGGCATGTACACCTCCTGCTGTTGCTACTTCCATGCTGCATTTATCATCAGCAGCTAAGTTTGCTAATGCTCCCGCAGCTCGTTCCTAATCACACAAATAAGGTAAATCCTCCATATAGAAAGAAGGGAAATATCCAAAAATGACATTTGTAACAGAGTGCCGCTTGAAAAAAAGAAGATGATTTATCTACACTACCACTTGTTCATCTAAATCATGATTTATCCTTGGATTTATCTGTTTTTACTTAAATTTAATGATCAAAAAAATTGTAGAGATATGGGTGTTTTGGTCATAAAATACAAATATTTTGCTTGATTTGATAAAAAAGCATTTCGTAGTGCTAAATGGCGTTAACTTATCCCCAAAAGTGTTTATTAGTATGATTTTATCTTTTGAAAGGAAACAAAGGGGGTGAAGCTTAAAACGTACCAAGACTCCGTCACAACCATTTGGCCATCTAAATATAAGATCGACTAGTGCCTTCACTCCTCCAGCCTGAGCAATAGCATTCTAATAGGAAAAAACGAAACAAAAAATGTGAGCGGAAGAATCAAAAGTAATAACCAAGAATCATTTAGATAATTAGAGGACTTACCTTATGCTCTTCTCCAACAGAGAGATTCCATAGTCCACCAGCAGCTTCCTCAGCCACAAGTCTATTCATTGACTTTGCCAAACCAGCAAGAATTTTTATTCCTCCTTCTTCAGCAACAGACTTTGCAACATTGGCATTTACAGACAAATTCGCAATAGCCTTAAAAATCCGACAAAAGACAAGAAAGAACAATGTTAGTGTGTCCAGTAAAAAGAATCAAAGTTCCAATAAGAGAAAATGAAAGAAAGAAAAAATGAGCAACCTTCGCAGCTTCTGATTGAAGCCCTTCTCGCCATGATTTCGCAAGTTCTAGAAGAAGACGGATCCCTCCATCTTTCATAACTGCTTCAGCTCTTCCACAGTCTATACTAGCATTCTCATCATCTATAACTACGAAAGTTGCAAGTCCAGTAGCTGATCTCTCTTGGACATCTTCCTGCGAGCTTTGCATTAAAGTAAGCAACAATGCAGCTCCTTGATTCAGCCAGAAATCATCCAATCCCTGTGGATTACTCTCCGCAGTCCGTAGAAGTGTATGAGAAATAATCCATTCGATCCAACGCATAATGTCATCAACGGATTTATCCTTGGTTTTTATCATCAATTCTCTCCAGTAGGAAAAGATGTCCTTTGGTTTCTTTGTATTATCGGCGAATATCGAAGCAACTCCATCGAAAACATTAGTGAACAGAGCAAGTAGGACTTTTCCTTTGAATCTATTCGAACTGATGAAACTTGTATCCTCTTCGAGGACACTACAGTTTAAAGCACACAAAACTTTCAAGGTCTGCGACGATGTCAAGAACCTAGAAACTGCAGTGGGACCAATGTCGGTCCTCGAGACATCTAAACCGATCAACTTCGGAAGCTTATCCCATTTATTCGATGCAATTGACCATTTTATGTTTGATGTCCCAGCAACAGAGAGATATCGAACAGATACAACTTTTCCCAGTGCTTCCTCGTCGATGCTTAGACAATCTAAGAAGCCGAGATCACTGAGCTGTGGACAATGCCTAGCCAGAGCTTCGATGGCTTCAGAAGTAACATCTCTTATCCCAGAAAGACGAAGCTTTTTAAGCTTTGGACAGCAAAATGCTACAGTTTTTATAGCATCACTAGTGATCTTCTCACAAAAATCTGGTCCAAGTTGGAGACTCTCAAGTGCCTCATGTCGAGCCACGATCATTGACAATGTAGCATCAGTTATCTTCCTGCAATAGTCGCCGCTAACTTCAAGCAGATTCCTTGCTCTGAGATGTATAATGGAATCGGCTGATTCAACGCCTCGAAACCTCAAGTTACAAAGATTAACACACCTAGCAGCAAGAGAAGCCGCCATTGAAGCATCAAACTTATGAGCACGAAGATCCAACGAACTCCACAGACAAGAAGAAGCACCAAGACCTCTCCATGTCTTACAAGTAGATGCTAAACTAGCTCGATCGCGATAATTCAAACAAGTAAACAACTGAAGCACAGTGTCATAAGGCAAACTAGTCCAATCAACATAACCATGAAACTCAGGAGCTGCTGCTACTAATTCCTCCTTGCTAGTCTCAGGATCACTTGGCAACACAACCTTATCCTTCCCTTTTCCTTCCAATTTCCTCCTTACCCTACGACTCATTATCTTTTGATCTTGATCCTCTTGCAGCTACTCAAACAAAAAAATCGAAACTTTGCTTCTCTCTCTCTCTGACTCAATCCTGAAAAGCTGATCACAAATTCCTTAAAAGGGCATAATCAAACCAAGACACAGATCTTCAAGTCCAAACCTTTCGCAGAGAAAGTTTGTGAATTTAGAAACTTC